AAATTTTGAACTTTTAGCTCAGTGTTGTCCAAACTGTGTACCGCGGCACACTGGTGTGCCAGAGAAATATTTTGTAAGTGACTTGAGCCACATGTTGTGTGCGACTTTGGAAATGGCTTACCCCTAAGGTGTGCCGTGGCTCAAAAAAGTTTGGACAACACTGTTTTAGTTGAAGCAAATATTCAAGAAATGAAATGAACAAAAGCTTCAATGAGCCCTGATTATCTTTTATAGAAAGTCTTTCACCTTCATTAAGGAAATTTCTTTCCGAAAAAAAAATAATAGAGCTTAATCACTAGCCAATTTACGAAATAAAGAGATAAAAGGCTTATCTCTGTGTAAATAAACAATTTAGCATCGTTAATTCCGGAAAAAAAAAGCTTACCAAAGTATAAATTGGAATATATTTAGAGCCGAATTGTCTTTATACATCCTTAGTATATACCCTTAATTATGCTTACCATTGTTAGATTTATAGGACACCAGCGCCATACAACGATTTTTACATAATTTACAGACAACGCACATTTCTGTTTATCACCTGAAAATGAAAGCACATAAATTAAATTATTTATGACAGAAATGTGACCGGATATAAAATTATAATGGTAAGCTATGAAACTGTGTTCCTTATCTATTTTAATGTTGCGATAATATTTTGTGGATATTTTTATTCTGTCTGACTAAGTCCACAGAATTTATTACAATTTCGTTTGTTGTAAGGTTGTAAACTGTATGATAAAGCAATAGTCTGAACCTAGTTTCGTTGTGTGTCTAATAAATGATGTCAAATGCATCTATATAGGTTTCGAACCCGTGGCTATGTTTTTAAAACCCAGGGCCTAGCAATTAATGTAAGTTGCCAGCTTGTAAGCAGATATAACCAAGAGACATTAATTGTTTAAGAACTACTTAAGGTAATAAAGCCATCACACTTGTTATAAGCATGGTATGAGGATATAAAGCCGTGATTTTAAAGAAGCATCACAATATAAGCCAAACTTTTTCATCTTTTTTGCTCATTTCACATTCCTCTTGTCCTTGTACCTCATGCGGATGAGTGAAAACTCACGGATGATTTCTTCTCTCACGAAAATATGCAAATCGAATAACTTCAATAAATTTCCATCAAATCCGAAATCAACGCACAGAAAGAAAGAAATAAGAAAGAGGAAGAAAGGCATTGAAAATTCAGTCTGCAACATTTTTCATTTATCATTTTTCAATTTTTTTTCTTTCGTCTTTTTCCAGGAATGAATTAATGACATCAATGGAAATTTTTTCGTGGGTTCTTTCAGCTTCCTGTTTCAATATCAAGGATCTAAATTTTCATGCTTAAAGATTCTTGCTATAAAAATAATAAGAATTGAGAATTTAATCCATAAAAATAAAGTTTTATTAGAAAATGTTTTTCTTTTCTTGTTTTGTGGATATCCAATCTAGAACACGAAAGAAAATGAAGATACTTGAGAAAAGTTTTTCAAATATTGAGCATATGGAAGTGAATCGATGAAAATTAATCTGATAATCGATATTATCTCTTTCTAATCTTCTTGAATTCATCTAAGCTCTTTTTTTCTCAAGGTTCATCAACATAGTATTGAAAATGCATTGGATGATTGAAAATAACTAAACCATATTAGGATCTGTTCACTTATGTATGACGTTCAAAGAGGAGGTTGGGCGTAAGCAGCAAGAAATGAACAATATAAATTTCTAGATATCTATTGCTCTTTTTTAAAAAATGACCGTTAATTTTATACCCCTTAGGACATTTTAGGAAAAGTGCTTTTTAGTTTTCAATCCTGAGTTTATCATGTTTGTCTTCAAGACAATACTGTATAAAATGGTCTATATAAAGTTTTATTTTTCAAATTTCAAGTGCATCTTTTAGTCTACGTATTATTTTTACTTGGATGATCATTGCTCGCTTCATAAATTTAATAATATAACAGCAAGGGTTTAGCCAGGAATTTTAAAAGTTTCGATTTCTCTTTTAAGTAAGCTCCGGGATCTATTCGTAGGTACATAGGTACAAAGTTTAATATTTACCTTTTTTACTCTTTGTAGTATACTTTGCTTTTACGAAAACTAGCAGCTGAAAGCCATTGAATTGAAGAGCCAGCAAAATAAAGAAGTACTTTTTGGTACGTGTCACTTCATCACTATGTTTTACTGTAATGTCGAAATCATTGTGGGATTTCTTGTCATATCGACAACAACTGTATGTAATGATTGAGAGATCAGTCTATGGTGGGAATCGAACCCACATTCTCGATTCACGTTATGTCTGGTCTGATGTCTAGCCATTCGCGCCACAGATGCTTAAATTTTATACTTGCAGATTTGCATGTAATACTTGAACTTAATAAAAATCTGTAGAAAAAATTAATTACAATAAAAACTCATTTTCATATAGATTTTATTCTATTTCTCACAAAATGTTTTGTCTATTATGTCAAAATATAACAAAATAAGTAAATTCATCTTTCTTATTACTCCTTAATATTTGAAAAGTTTCTCAAATTGTAGATTCTTCATTCCTTTATATCTATTTTTATTTATTGTCAGTTTCAGAAATAATAAAACTGAATATCTAGCGAGTATAGGAGCTAATAGGTAAAATAATATTATTTGTGTATATGAAAAATATTGTTTTTGAGTAACGTGCTTTAATACATAATATTTTGTTGAAAATCATTAATAGACAATCATCGGCAACTTCTTCATCTGTTCAACAATTTTCTTTTTCTCGTTATGAGCAAGTTTGTGCAAATTAAATGTAAATATAATTTCATCTATCTCTTTCAGTTTTAAAAGGAACTGACCATTGTCTTTACATATCATTTCTCTTTACAATTTATTCTTTGTGTGATGTGTTTATTTAATTAGTGGGTTGGTTTAAAATCGATTGGAACATACTTTGACTTATTTTGGGAAAATATTAGGTTTTGCTGCTTTTAAAAGCTTTCAATTGCTGCCTTACATGCTGAAATGGTCTTTAGATGTTAAGTCTTTTTTTAAAATTGGTAATTGATTAAATGAAGAGGTTCAAATTTCTCCGTAGCTTATGTGGTCAATTCTGATTTATAGGAGCAAGATCTAGTTTATAATTTATTGTAAAGTTATAACCTTATATCCTGTTGGTTAGCTGTGGACTTTTATTTTAGCCTAGACATCACTTAGACTTAGGCAATGCAAGGTGAAAAAGGCATAATTTGTTTATATCCAAAAACTCCCATTTGCAAGAGCTTGAATTCAATGAAATTTTGTATTCAACAAATCTACAAAGGATCAATTATATTCCTTTTTTAAACCATCATAAGCCATCAATATCCAATCGATTTCAGAATTAATCTATTTCTGAATCAAGATATATAGATGGGCTCATACAGAGTATACTTGACCATACTCGACCATACTATTTTTTGTGTACTTATACAAACAAAATTTTTTAAAATTTTCTATTTTCAAGTTTTCTTTTAAATATCGACAGATGCAACAACATTTGACTTTAGTCAGTTACTTTTAATTATAGCAAAGCATTTGCAATACTCCTGTATCAACAAAACTTAACAGAAAGTTGAAAATTTTGCAAAACAAAAATTGAAAATTTTCTTTTAAAGTGTTAGTGTTTTTAGAAAATTCAAATTTTTGACGTTTAAAAACTGCGATATTTTTGTATGAGCACATCTATATATCTTGTTCTGAATAAAGAAACCTTAAATGATATCCTAATCCATAATATACTTGAAGGTACCCAAATAATTACTTTTTGCTGCGATATTTGTGATGTACAATTTTGTGATTCGATTGAACTTTTGTAATTGAAATTCTCCAAAAACTGAGTAGTTCTTTGATATCTTCATGATATTTACAACTTTATAGATCTCTAAGAATATCCTAGAGTATACAACAAAGGAACAAAAGTGTGCATTCGAGTATAGCACAAGATTCACAAACTTATTCTTTTTATTGCAATAATTAGAAGATAAATTCATGAAGGTGTGTCAGAAACTATACAATTAGTACTAATCCAATTAAAGTAAATTCAATCGAATCTTAATGCTATTTTCCCTATTGGCCTCAATTAATCTATCTTTACAATTATTTTTCCACTTACATTTTTTTAATCAAATTATAAAACTAATCTTAATTTACATGCTATACATAAGGAGATTCCGAGAAATACACATTTTAAAGGATCAACAGTCTAAACAACCAAGCTACTCATATTTTCTTATAAATTTCCATCTAGTCAGATTGCTTTGCATTTCTCGGGGAACTATATTTTGGATTGCACAACTAGAATTTTCTTTAGCTTAAAACTAGAAATTACATAATATACGGAATTGAGATATAGAGGCACACGAAGGATAAAATGATTTAATTGCTTGAGATGTTCATTCCATAACTTTTGTGCCAATTACAATGTTCATCTTTAGAAAAATATCGACTACGTGAACCAGAATTGTTAAAAGAAGAAAAGCATAAAAAAATTCTCATTTCAATGCATCAGCATAGCTTATTTTAAAAATTCGAGGAGATAAATTAATGTCACAGCAATTTGCCTCAATATTCATACAAATTACCAATTCAAATTTTTTCTCTTTTATTTAAGTAGCGCTCGGAAAGGTTGCAACTCTTAGCCATAAGATGCCTTACGATTCCACGTTATGACGCGCGAAAGAGAATTGAAGGAAAATTGATTTTCCATAAGAATGACTCGAAATATTACAATTCTTCTTATTTCTTTTTTCTTTTCATTCTTTTCTATTAAAAATCATCACAGTTTTTTAACATCATTCTTTTATAGAAATAGGAAGGAACTTGGAAAGTCATCGGACAATGAATGCGCATTTTTGTATCAAGGGTCGTTCGGTTATGCCGATCAACTTTTTAAAGTTGATTTTTTGTGATACTTTTCAAAGACATCATTTATGAACGACTCTTATAACTTATTTTTGGAAAACTTTTGCTTAATTTTTGATTTTCTTTTTTTCCAGGTGTAATTTTAAAACATTGGGCACAAAATACTTACGAAATTTAGCATAATTAAATAGGTTTGTTAAGTCTGACTAAGGTTTTGAAAAAAAAGTTATTTGGAGTAACTAGCAAAAATTTTCCAAAGATTTTGATCAACAAGTGTGTTTAAGTTTGACTGAATGGACTGATTTGTGTACCAAAATATTGTTTTTACAGTAAAAGAATTGAACTCAGATCAAGTTAAGTAGAGAGCTATCATTAGCGTACTGTATGCTTGACCTAGTTGAGCGTTTTTGGTAATACAAAGTAAAGCTTGTATGAAACCCTCTAGAACTCTGACTGGAATCATTCCTCTCAAATAGTGACGCTTAACGTTCTAGGTCTCATGTAGTACATGCTAATATTTTCTTATATTTATGGAATATTAGCTCAATGATAATTATCATTTGAAAAGGAATCACTTACTTGACGTTTTCTGGAATTTTCAAACTTTATCCTGCAGAGATCGAAGTCGATTTTTCCAGCTTAAATCAATTTTTTGATGAAAAAAAGCCATTTGCGATCCATTTCAAGTATTAGAACTGAACTTTACATGCTTTACTATGATGAACGATAGAGCCAGCTTCAGGCGCCATCTGAGGAAGGCCATGGATCACAATTGATCTGTACGGCCAGCGAAGTAAGTAAGTACTATGATTCTGTTTCAAATTGAAATCGGTTAAGAACTCTGCATTGAATTTAAAATATTATTATGAAAAAGGTTATAACAACTTAACGACTTTTAATGAATTATGCAAAAATAGAGTCAACTCACTCAACAAAATAATTTAAAATTTGAGGATCCTCTAAAATTATAATTTGCAAACAGTCAAAGTGAAATTAACTTTGTCGCGTCTTCAAATAATCTACTCATAAAGCAAAAAGATCCCAAAAGCAAGAACTTTTATAAGGAAACAATAACAATGATGCAAACTTTTCATCGTTATAGCAAGAATTCTTGTGATAACGATAGAGCAAACATCCAAAGACGAAGGAAATAATTAAATTTATCCAAAGAATTTGTTTAATGGATTTAGCAAGTATCTTAAAATAGGGATTATGTAATAGCATTGCAGTTTATAAAGTGTGGGTCATGAATCATGATAGCAAGAAAAAATATATTCCCTTCCTTCTACAGCCAAACCCCTTTTTCATTCCTTATTTAAATCTCATCGTCGGTACTTCTTTTTGCTTGTGTTTGAGGAAGTAATCCAGACTTAAATAAATTGGAATGTAATTTAAACGAGAAAACTTGATGTAATAAAATTTTGTCTGTTCCTTACATCCCTCATTGCTGTCATTTCTTACTACCCATATTTTCTGTCTTCGTTTTTATAATGGCAAACTTGTCATTACTTGTCACAGATCGCAGACGTGAAGTCATGGCTAAATGGAACTTAAAGCGCACTTAATGACAAAATTTCGAGTTTGTGACTTTATAGAATTCAAAGGTTTGATGCTATTTTTCATGTCTGAATTAAGCTAATGGTTAATGCACACAGAAGACTTAGCCAAGAACATGTTTGTCATTGTAAGTCAAACATTGAATAACACGAGAACAACGATACAAAATCAGTCAGTCAACGTGAAGAAAATAGCACATTTATCCCCAAAGTCAATAAATTTTCTTTCCAAAAAGTTATTAAATAAAACAAAAGGAAAACTTTTCCATCTTATCTTCCTTAAACTCATCCAGTTCCATGCTTTCCACTTTCAAAAAGTCCTTTTTTAAAGAAACTTGAAAACTCGATTAGGGACTTTTTTGACAGTCCCTGACCACTATTTCCATCATAAATTGGACACGATGGTATTCTCGAACACACAACCAAAAGTCTTCTCAGATACGTCTCGAGCTGTCGTCTTCTTGTTTTCGCCACTGATTCACTGTTTGATCCAAACAATTCACGTTTTGGAAAATTGATTTTTGCAACCTGTTTCATGAATATGAAAATTGAAAAAAAAAATGAATAATAAGAAAAGGAACAAAAACGGAAGCAATAAAGATTAAGCGGATGAGAAATAAAATTCATTTTTTTTTTCTTTCTTTACTTCTCATTCCTCACACACACACAGTTTATGTGATGACATTTACCTTATCGCCATATTGAGCTTTCATACTGAGATGTAACTCCCTAAATCGGCTGTATCTTCGCAATAGGAGCCATCTTTCATCAGGCAGGTAAATTCTTATTTCGTATTCATAATGTGTTTTATTTCCCGCTCCACGTATGATGTAGGAAGGGATGTTAATTGAATGTTCAGGTTCTATCAAAAAATATTCAACATTCCATTAATCAGTTCGTTTTATGTTTTAAACATGTCATGTTCTAGTGTCAGGGGTGTATCCAATTGATTCATCACTCAAGATACGCCCAAGTGTTTAGTAAATTTTTGATGGCAACATTACAATTTAGGATCATTCACAAATGACGAGTACGTCTGGTTTCACTATTTTAAACTCCAAAAGTCGTCATTCGTGAATAACCCTCACATAAAAATGCAGCTCTAGAAATCAACAACTGATAATCATTAAGTACTCACGTATTGGATAAGATCCTTCAATAGTTGGCAGTGACCTTGTCATAATTCCAGCGTGCGAGTACATACTTGACGCTGTTACCGAGATACTGTTATTGCGTGTGGACATTGTTGACATCATAAGTGGATTATTACGTGATTCATCACTGTCAGCACTACTGCCGTTTATTTCACGTAAATCTGTTGACATTTCTCCATCGGAAAGGCAACCATCTGTAATGTTGTCATGGAAATGGAATCACAAATATGTGTTAAAATTGGTGCTCAAAACTATTTGGCAATAATACTTACCACGTGAGTTATCTAAACGCATTTCACATTTAACAAATTCCTTTTGTAGCTCCTGAAGGTCATTAATCATGTCATCGAGTTTCGATTTTTCTCCACCCATTTCAAGTATCCTCATAATTTCAGCCTTTTTTATAGCAACTTTTTCACTCAATTTATCCATTTGTGTATTCAGTAATTGCTCATAAAATATTTGCGATGAATGTGTCGATAAGTTGTCGCCATCATATAAATGTTTCATTAAAGTGTTTTGAACAGCACAAGACGATGATGATGTTTGTGGCTCAGGCTCAGGCACTTTATTGTTTTCAAGACATACACCACTGTCGCTCATGATTGTTTTGTCTTCTTGTTCTTCCGGATGTCCGACAACGTCAGACATTGTCCCTGTATTTACAGCCATATCCTTTAGTTCCGAATCTTTTGTTTCATCGTCATCTTGATGCTCCTGTCGTGGTGGAAATGGCGATGGTAATGCGGAAGCAAATGAGCAATCCGAATTGGCTGTATGGAAAGTATCACATGTTTCTGTTTCAGTAGTTTGAGCACCATTTGAATCTATCAATCCCAGAGTATCAGTTTGTACATCACTAGTTTTATTTCTTAAATTAAGCGTTAAAGATTGTTTTTTGAGTTGAATTCTATCTTGCTCTTCTTGACTCTTCTGAGTAAGCATTAAGCGATTTTCTGTCTCCAATTTTGTCAACTTTTCATGAAGTTCTTCAATTTTACGATGACACTGCTGGAGCATGTTGTCTTTTTCTATCAGTTCATTTTCATATTTTTCGATTTCATCGCGCTGTGAGAGAAAGGAAATTGAAATTCATTTAAATAAATTGACAATAACGAATTCCATTAGCAATCATTCACATTTTCAAGGACCATAATTGTTTGAATAATCGATTACCGAAATTATTGGAGCTTTTTTCTTCTTTTATCAAGCTTTTCCAATACAACAACTACAGCATTATTTGAAATTAATTGTATTCAGCATTGCCAAATTTACATTGTCATTGAATTTAGATTGTTGGCTATTCTTGCAAATATATTCGGTATAGCAAGACATTATTTAAGATCGATTCATGTCGGAATAGTTTTAAGTATTATTAAACCTTTACTTAGTAGAGGCGAATTAAAACCTAACGACCTTATCCTTAAAAATGAAGCGAATAGTATCAGAAAGCTATTCAAATGCTTATAATTACAGCAAAAATTCCATAACGGCAATCAAAGGAAAATATTGTTTTTAAAAATCTATATCAAGGTTAAAGGTTTATGAAATTAAAAATAATAATGCGGTTTCATCAATCAAGCACAATCAAGTCTTAATAATATATTATATGAGCACTTTACTTACATTTTTCTTAATATTGTCCCTCAAATACTGACTCGAATATGAATCCAACGATTTTGAGACTTCCAGCAACACTCCACTATAGTCATCTTGAACTGGTGTATTGTTGAGAGCTTCCAGAAGTTCCTAAATTAAATTAAATGTATCTAAATTAGCCAACTCAACAAAATAATATTTTTTTTTTCTCTTAATGAATTTTTTCTTTGCGAAGATTCATGCCGAATTTCATGAATTGGAGTAATTTTTGTGGATTATTGATCAAAATAAGCTTTCAATGAAACTCAAGTTCTTTTAAAAAAATATATATAGCGCTACAGATTAATACTAATCCATTACTCCAATTTCTTAAATCTAGATTTCTTCCAAAACAATTGAAATCAAATGAACAGAACCAGCTATTTCGAAACAATCGCATGAAAATATTCAGCATGAAGCTTGCAAAAGTTCTCAAGGCCACAGAATCTACATAATGAAAATTTCTATTTTTCAAATAAGAAACACAAATTCCGAAAGAGAAACTCAACTGAAATAATAAAGTGAAAATGAAATAAAATAAAAACCTCGTTAATTTTTCCACAATCTTGTAGCTCTTGTAATTCTCTAGCAACAAACTCAAAGAAATCACGCTTTTTAGAATCTAATGACGTCAACAATGCACTAATTTGACGATTCAAAATTTCAACCTAAATTTTCAACACAAAATAAAATAAGGAAAATAAAATAAAATATATTGGAAAACTCAAACTAAGTTTAGCGCATTTTCCGGTGAAAAGCTAAGAAAAATGCGCTAGGTAAATAAAACTTATGGATCTAAATTATGACTTACCTGTGTCTGTTCATTATTCTTCTCCCATAAAACCATTTCTTGCTTCGCAAGAAGCTCTTCTATTTTACAATCTATTACAACTAACTTATCTGACTGCCTTTTCTCTAAACATTCAATCTCCTTCGTATATCTTAGTACTTTTGTTTTAAAATGATCATGCATCTTTACGCGCTCAAGATTAAGTTGCTTTAGTGCACTCTCAATTGTCTGGAGAATTTTTTTATGCTCATCTTGTATCTCTTGGTTGTCACGTACAAACTGCTCATTCATAAGAAAATGTTGCTGATAGCGTGCTTTATATGGAGATGAATTTGTTGAGCCATCATCATCCGACATAAAGCTGTTGCATAAATTTTCTCGAGACGCTGCTATGAGTGACAATCTTGATAAGTCTGTACGATTAGTTCTGGTTGAATTTTTACGATATTTTGCTACTTCTGATGGATTATTGTAACGAAACATATTCGTTCGTCCGAGAAGTATTATATCACCTTGAGATATTGACATGGGTCGGTCAATAAGATTCGCGTTAAGCCAGCATTGTGCATTTTCATTTGGATGTATCATTGCATTCCCAGAAGTTAGGACAATTCGACAGTGTTCTGGACATATTCCTAAGCCCGATAATACGATGTCTTGTGGATGATCTGACTCATTTGTTCCAATTAATGTATCACCCTCTTTTAAGGTAAACAATGTAACGCCTGTGATTTCATCATTAATTCCAATTAAATGTGGCTTTTCTGAATCCAAAGTGACTCCAACACCAGACTTTTTTAATCCTAGCGATTTCTCTTCACGCAATATAGACTGTACTTCCCGCCATTTCTCAGACCATTCTTCTATGAGCACTTTCTCTTGTGCTTCTTTCTTTTGTAAATCTTCTAGCAAATGTGGCTCTTTTAAGCTTATTGAACCACTGTTAAGCATTGAACGTAATGACGAGATTTCTTCCCTTAATTCACGAATTATTTTCACATTTGCATCTTCATTAATCGTTGGCTTATTAATAATATTCTTTGCTCGATTTGCATAACGTAGCGTTGATAAAGTTTCCGAATAATTTACATCTGCTGGCGAAATAGCTGCCAACATAACTGTCTTCGAATTGCCACCAAGTGAATCTTTCAACAGCCATGTTAATGTACTGTCACGATAAGGAATATAAAACTTTTTTGAAGCATTTGGATTCGCAAGTTCAGCTAAAGAAGATATGACACTGCCCAAAGTTACGAGTGATTTATTAATATGAGCACCTTCTTTCAGCCTTTGACCTGTTGCGCCTGTTGAATTTGCTCGCTCGCTGCCGGCAAGATCGACTAAGTGAATTTTTGATACTGTCTCACTGGGCATATCATTGAGGAATCCAGCTTGAACAAAGGTTATTGTTACTATTGCATGACTTCTTGAGGACGTGTCATTCATATTTGTTGCGGCTGTTGTTCGTTCAGCATTGCCTTTTACCATACATTCATGAATCTCCTCAAAATTGTTCACTGTGTGTTGAGATAAGTTTTCTACATACGGACCATGTATTCGATGTTCTCGTACCCGTAAGCAATGCCCAACATTTTGTGGACCAAGTAAATCACGAACTCGTTCATTGTAAATTTCTAAATAGCTTACTTGTGTCTTATAGCCAATTCCATCTTTTTGACCCGTTTTCATTCGATTAAATAATTCTCTACATATCCTTGGTACTAGTCCTTGCTGCGTCTTATCTTGTGAATTACCCATCATTGTATATGTCTTACCAGATCCCGTTTGTCCATAAGCAAATAAACAGAAATTATAGCCTTGAAATGCGCAATCAACGACATCAGTTCCAAGATCATTAAAAACTTGTTCCTGACTTGTAAAATGACCATCATTCTCATCTAATGACCAATAAGAATGATCAAAGGTAAAGTCATGAAAGTGATCGCGTAGACTCGATGATTGTTTTGACGGTTTCATAAGCCGTGTCTTCTTTCCGTCCATTTCAACAATCAAACTTGCGCCAAGTTCATTCTCTCTGAATACGAACAAAGCAAAATAAATAGAAAAGAAACGAAATTATTAAGTGCGATTAAAAATAATGAAAGAAATGACGTCGAAAAGAGAGATAAGGAAATGAAAGCTAAACAGCTGACTTAATTTTGCATCAAAAGAAATACCAAATGAATCATCAGACTGGATGTTATTGGTAAATTGTTTATTATGTCTATTATTGAATTGCATACCTGTTATTGAAAGGTCTAACCCTTACAGCTACTCTCAGAGATGACATTTTTGGTAACGCTTTCCAAATTTAATTGATTCGTGACGAATATAAGGCAATTTTTCAAGTTGAATGATTATGTTTATTTTTCACGAATTTCCACCACTTTTCTTAAATTATCAGAATTATTCTACATTATAACTTATAGTACTCGAGTTTCTGAACATTTTACACTAGTTTTCATTTAATCAGCAATAGCTAAAAGCACTTTAATTAATTATTTTCATTTTTCTCTAATATCATTGAAGAATCTTTTGTTTACCTGAAAGTCCACTCAATTTGAGAATATTTGTTTTCACTTTTTTGTTTCACAATCAAGTAGTCTTAATTTTCTGAATGACACTTATTGCCTTATAATTACAGGAACACTTGTTTGATTGCTATTAAGCTATTTAACTGAGTATAGTCAATAATCACTACACACTGGCATAGATTGCAACAATAAACAAATTTTGGTACATTTGTTGTGTTGGATTGCACTGTATTGCATCTATTTAAAATTTAAAGGTTTGTTAATAAATTGTGAGAAACTTTTTGAAAAGTTTGCTGATTTTTAAATATGAAGATTTGATTATAATTTATAAATGAATTAATCAAAATTGTTGATATCTTAGCAGACCAATTTTAGAGCGTCAGTTGACAGAAATAGCAAAAATAATAAATTTAAATAAGCACAACTGTAGAGCTACAGCTCTGAAAGTGTAGATTCAAATATTTGAGAACCATACAGTATCGTACGGTTTTTCCTTTGGGAATGAAAATTTTTAATAATGAACTAAAAAATGAAAATAATTAATAGTTTTATAGTTTATCTCATCACATTAGTAGTAAATAAGTGCAATGGTGAATTAAATGCCACAAGAAAGTGCGATGAAGGATGGCAGGGGAAGGATTGTGAATTTTGTGCAGGAAAAATAAGGTAAAATAAGAAAACTCAAAACTTTTCCATATTTCGCCAATGAATTCACTATTTTCTGTCTGTTGGAACTGCTGATTAAGTAACTTGTTATCAACTTTGTGAGTGCAAAAATCAAGTGATAATCATAATGGTTCCATTGATTGTCATTTTAGAGACTTTTTTGCAATTGAGTTCATTGGTCTAATTCTGCTTACAACTTTCCCGTTGTTTACAATTGTTCTCAATTTAATAAAACCTATTTAAACTGTTCCATTTTATTCGCAGATTAACAGAGCCAAAAGGAACGATACATGATGGCATAGGAAATTATTCAATAGGCGTAAAATGTTCGTGGCTCATAGATGCTCGAGGTCCTTTTCAACCATCATCACCAAATAACACAAATTCAGTAAAAAAGAAACCTAAACGAATACGATTACATCTTGAAGAATTTGCCACAGAGTGCTCATGGGATCACTTATATATTTATGATGGTGACAGTGTTCAAAGTCCTTTACTCGCTGTATTTAGGTAAACTGGATATAAATTTACTTTCACTATAAAACAGAAAAAACTTTTTCATTTGTCACATACACAACACACATAATCTTTATCGAAGACGACACTTGATACGCACAACAACTCATCTAATCGGTCTAGTCTCACTTGATTACTGATTATAAATGCATTGCCACAAACTACTCATTAAATTATAAATTATGCCGTCTTCTTTATCATTTCGACAGTTTGTCTACAAACTAAACTTAGTAAAGTTCACAAGACCTTGAATTTGATCGATTCCTTGCTAGACACATATTTTTGCAATTGATTACGAAATGCTTTTCATAACAAAAAATTATTCCGTTTTATAAGCAATTAGTCATTATTATGAATTCTCTCTCGTTTCAGTGGCTTAATGTACAAAAGTAATTTCTCAATTCGTCGCATTCCAGAAGTTGTTGCTCATTCTGGTGCAACTCTACTTCACTTTTTCAGTGATGATGCTTATAACATGTCAGGCTTTAATATTTCTTATCGCTTTGACTCGTGTCCAACGACAGATTCATGTAAGTATTTATTTATCAGCACATTCTTGCTCAGTTTACAATATATTAATCTCTCTTACATTACAGCCTTAATCTGCTCGGGTCATGGTGTGTGCATAGACGATGGGAAATGTACATGCGATGCTGCATATATGGGAACAGCGTGTCACATTCCAAAATGTCCAAATAATTGTTCATATCCAAATGGGCATTGCGACAGAGAAAGACATCGATGTATTTGTACAAATGAGTATGCTGGCTCTGATTGTAAGCAGAAAGCATCGCATGGGTACTGGGAGACGATCGATACAGATACAAAGTCATTTTCTCCTCCTGGCAGCGCATCACATGGCAGTGCTACTTATGGTGACACAATGTTTGTGATTGGGGGTATGAAGACAGACATCATTTTGTAATTGATCCTGTGACTATTATTATTTTCTATATTCTAATAGGAGAAAGTTATGAGCGAGGCGAGCTGCTTTATGCGTATGATTTTAATGGAAATATTTGGGAGACAGTGCACGTCGATAATTCGCCATTGATGAGATATAGTGCAAGTACAGTGATTTATGGTGACAAAATTTTTATGTATGGCGGTGTTATTAAAGGAAGTAGTGTTACGAATGAACTATGGGCATTTGACGTGTCGGCAAGAACATGGGAGAATATAACAGTGAAAACAGAAGCATGTAATATTACAGCAAATTTAATGTGTCCATTGCCACTAGAATCTTCTGGACATACAGCAAATATAGTTCCAATACATGACGGTGCCAAAACACAGTATTATATGATTGTGATTTTTGGTCATTCGCCTAATTTTGGATTTTTAAATACCGTACAGGAATATAATTTAGGAACACGTGAATGGAAAATAGTCTCGACTCATGGATATCCTGTAAAGGGTGGATATGGTCACAGTTCAAGTTATGATGAACTAACAGAGAAGATTTATGTTTACGGTGGAATAATTAGTGAATCGGAATCACAACAGCTATTAAGCAATAAACTTTATAGTTATGATCCGAAAACTCATGAATGGAAATTATTAATATCATCAACAACGGCACGTTACTTACATACAGCAAATTTCATTTCCGATGGTTTAATGATGGTCTTTGGAGGTAATACACATAATGATACAAGTCATAGCTTCGGTGCCAAATGTTATAGTATGGATCTTCTACTTTATGATGTTCTTTGCGACAGCTGGCATCATCATCCTATGCCGAGTGAATTACAGGCAGACTTGTCTAGATTTGGACATTCATCGCAAATCTTTGAGAAAAAATTGTACATTTATGGGGGATTCGATGGTCAAATGCTTACGGATTTGTTGAGATTTACACCGGGAAATTGTGAGTCATTAGATCGCATTGATGTATGTCTAAATACACGACCGGGTGTTAAATGTGTATGGGATCATCAAGACTCAAAATGTAAGGCAATAAATGAGCTTCAAAAAGGATTAATTTTTCAACGAGGCGATGAGTACATTCAAAAATGTATTAAGCGTAGTCGAATGGAAATGACACAAGAACATATTGCAAAGCAACAGCAATGCTCAGATCAACATTCATGTCATGCTTGCGTCTCGACTAGTTCATCATGTAGTTATTGTAATAATCCATCCATTAGACGCGGAACTTGCGTATTAGAAAAATGTACAGATCCTTCAGGCGCAAAACAGCGCTCACAATTCTCACTGACGCCTATCAAGCAAATCGACAAGTGTCCAAAAGAAGTCGAACCATTATGTGGACAGCTCCATAAATGTCAATCATGCATGTCTAATCCTGTATGTTTCTGGAGTGTTGATCATAATAAATGTATGTCTTATGGAAACCGTTCAAATGAGGAAACATATCCATGTCCTCCAGCATGCTCATCATTAACTACATGTGCAAATTGTACACAAGAAGATTGTATTTGGTGTCAAAATGAGGAACGTTGTGTTGATAAGAATGCTTATACAGCTAGTTTTCCTTATGGTCAGTGTCGTGAATGGACCACTTTTCCAGGAAAATGTCGAGCACCAACAACAGGTTTATCGCAGTGCTCATTTTATAAGACTTGTGAGAAATGTCGAGAAGAAATTGCATGTGGATGGTGTGATGATGGTTCGAATACGGGTCTTGGAAAATGTCTTGATGGTGGTGATTCTGGTCCGCAAGATCTAATGTCATGTCCTGCAAATCATTGGCACTTTACTCATTGTCCAAGTTGTCAATGTAATGGACATTCAACATGTAAAGATGGCTCAACTTGTGGACAATGTGATGCTCATATATTTGGTGCAAATTGTGAAAAGTGTAAGCCTGGCTATTGGGGTAGTCCAGTGAATGGCGGTGAATGTAAATTGTGTGAATGTAATAATCAAGCAACTTCATGTCATCCTGAGACAGGAAAATGTTTTTGTAGCACTAAAGGACTCGCTGGTGATCATTGCGAGAAATGTGATGCTACAAATCATTATCATGGTGATCCTAAATTAGGCTCATGCTACTACGACCTCACAATCGATTATCAATTTACATTTAATTTGTCGAAAAAGGAGGATCGACATTATACACAAATTAATTTCCGTAATTCACCTGTTAAGGCTGATATAGATGCCGATTTTACGATAACATGTAGCGTACCGGCTAAAATGAATGTAACGATGAAGACATTGGGGCAGGATCGAGAAAAGCCTCTTTTTATGAATATAAATTGTACAACATTCAGACAACGATTTTCGAAAGCAGAATATCAATTTGGCTATGAAAATAATCAAACAACAACTACTTTTTATGTGTATGTGTACGACTTTCAACCTCCTTTATGGATACAAATCGCATTCTCGCAATATCCTAAACTAAATCTACAACAATTCTTCGTGACGTTCTCGACGTAAGTTTTTTTTGCTTTCTACAGGAAATATGGCTTCAAGAGTTTATTTTTCCTGGACGTTCTTTCTTTGGGGCCGTTCACTTATGACGTCCAGGGGAAGGGAGGGGGGGGGGGGTCAGCAAGAAAAGAACAATAGAAATTCCTGGAAATTCATTGTTCTCTTTTGAAAAATGACCGATATTTTCGGACGTCATAAGTGAACGATCCCTTTGCGTATATTTCCATAAAGGGATTTGGCGTTAATGATAGCATTCTACACTTAAGTCTGTTCGCTTTGTAACTCTTTAACCAGTTTAATAATAGTTTAAATTTAATATTTAGATCCAGGTCAGGAAGCTTTTTCGCTTAGCTATTGTATTGATATGTGTAGATATTTGAACTTACTTCCATTCTAGTCTTCTAGGGTTTAATAGGGCTCGTGAGGAGTAAAAAACATTTTGATTTTCTGAAATCTGTTATTTGTGTGATTGAAAAAAATCATGATTTTTCAAATCCTACGTAAATCTTCACATAGGATTTCATTACGTAGACAAAATCTCAACGTAATGATTTTCATTACGAATTCAAAATCTTTCCGTTAGGATTTAACCTACGTGAATTTGTAATTGTTTATATATTTTGGAAAGTGATTGTTTTTATTGAAACTTGAAACTTTCATTTCAAATAATCCAGAAACAGCTGAGCAAGCCCATTTAAATTCCAATCTTACAGAATTCGACATGTATTTGGATGAAGATCAACTTCCAACTGGATCTGAAAGAAATAACGAAGCAGCTGTGTTAGAAAAAATTATGAAATGCTGCATACAGCCTAGAGTTTCGGCATCTGTTGATGATTTTGACATATTTAAGTTCTTGAAGTTTAAATTTACGTATGACAGGCTCATGTTGGGCACTTTTTTGGCTGTTGCAGCTACTCCTAGCAATCAGTCTTCAGTAGAGTGATCGTTTAGCGCATTGAAAATTCTTTTGAGTGACTTACGATCCAATCTATTGCTAAAGTCCGTAGAAGACATTATGTTGTGTCACTTAAATTCCTCATTATTCCAAAAAATTAATTTTGATTTGATATAGAGCATAATATTGTTATTAAAATATACTTATCTTTGCTATTCCGAGCTCATAAGTCAATTTTTGTAGTATATCAACATATTTGATGTCCTTAAGGCATTAGTTTTGTCAAGTTTCAATAACAACAAACTCTTTCCAAAAAATGTAAACAATTACAAATTCACGTAGGTTAAATCCTAGCGGAAAGATTTTGAATTCGTAATGAAAATCATTACGTTGAGATTTTGTCTATGTAATGAAATCCTATGTGAAGATTTACGTAGGATTTGAAAAATCATGATTTTTTTCAATCACACAAATAACAGATTTCAGAAAATCAAAATGTTTTTTACTCCTCACGAACCCGGTTTATTCACTTGTGTCCATGAATTATTTGCATTGTTATATATCATTTCCTCTTAAATGATGGACATCATACATGAATCCCCCCTTAAAAGAAAGCTCTTGTCAACCTTATTTATAACTTTAATGTCTTTTGTGAGAAAAGTCATTGACTTTTGGATAGGCTCACTCTTTTCGATAAGATAATCTATCTTTTCTAAGTGATTGATTTACGGAATGTTATCAAAATGCGCCATCGACTGCTCTAATTTTTATCATATTCACAACAGATAATAATCTCCGCATGTGAATTTCTTCTTCCTACAGATGTTTCTTGCTGCTTCTTCTAATGGCAGCGATTTTATGGAAAATAAAGCAAAAATATGATATGTTTCGTCGTCGACAACGCTTATTTGTTGAGATGGAACAAATGGCTTCAAGACCTTTCTCGCAGGTACATAAACTTTTATGATCTTTTTTTTTTAAAAAAATGAAGCAATTTTTTGCTCCCAATCTTACATTCATCTAATTATTCAACATATATCTTCCTTATTACGTCTCTTCCATCCGCTTAATTTCTTGTGTGCACAATCACTCGCTCAAAAAATTATGAATAATACAGGTTCTGGTTGAAATAGATAGTAAGGATCGTGAATATAATGAGATTACACCAGTAGCAGATACGAATAATACAATAAGTACGAATGTAACAAAGAAACGTAAGAAAGATTCACCTAGTCCAATTGCATTGGAACCGTGTGCTGGAAATAAAGCCGCAGTCTTATCGTTACTTGTGCGAATGCCAACTGGTAAGTATGAAAATTGAAAAAAAAATCTCCTTCGTTCCACTGCCAATTCTTTCTCACTTCAATAAACTTTTTCAATGAATATTTAATTTTCAATTAACAAATTCATTATGAATTATTCATCATCTTTATTTCTTTTATGAAGAAATGTTCCTTTAAAGAAGGCCGTTACTTAGTGACCAAAGCGCACTGCTGTCACAAAGTTGTCTTTCTGTTTGATGGTTATTTATATTTAATCAAGCTTTTCTTGTGTTTGTCTGAAAGTTGAGATAACAAATGAAAATTTTAATTATGTTAAGCAATTATTGCTATTGTTTGTGCATACCATTAATTATCTGGTATGCAATTGGATGTTAATGCTGATACAGAATTAAAATTATGGTTTTGAGTGGTTACCAGACATTTCAGGGTTAAGTACCATCCCAAATGGCACAAGTCGGTTAATCAAATACAATCCACAATTTAATATTGTGCTAGCTTTAGTTGAAATCCAGCACCATACCAGAGTCACACCGGCTTGGATTTCAGATCGATTAACCGACTTTTGCCATTCGGGCATCATTCATGCTAAACAATAAGGTTGACACGACATTAAAGTGAGAAGATTTATACCAGTAGCTTTGTCCTAGGAATCTGATGAACAAACCTTTAGTTGCAAGTCAAAATGGTAAAAGTAAATGTATCAGTAAATGTCAGTATGCTTGATTCACCACAAGTCCATTACAAAACTGTCATCTCAAAATGCTTAGTAATAATTATTAGACATTTCTTTAATTAAAATTTCAAGTCAAATCAATGATTCCCAAAAAGTCACGAATCCATTTGATTATGTAAAATTTGCGCTAAAAAAATGTTTCTCGATAACGACGAAAGAATAATTTTCTCTGTAATTATTTATCTTTATCTACATCTTGTTTTCTTTCTCTTACTTTTTTCACAGGCGGTTTGCCACATTCACCTTCAGGGCAATCGTCGGGATTAGCAGTAGCAAGTGCACTCGTTACGCTTGGAAATCCACGGAGACCTTCTATAGACTTAAATAATCCAAAAGATACCAACACAAAAAGTAACAAACGTAAACAAAGTCAACATCCAGATAATTTATAAGACACAAGGGTGTGAATGATTGATAAAAGAAAAAAAAGTTTGTTTGTGGAGAGACTCTTTTTTGATTAACAATATCTAGCGTCGCGAATGGAGTGTAGATGAGTTTTATTATTTAATTTTTAATTGTGTGAAAACAAGAAGTATAACTATAACAATTATTATGATGATTATAATGTCAAATAACTAGACGCCATTTGAAAGTGATTGAATGTGAATTGAATGCATGAATGAATGGATGGAACTATGTCGATTGACATAGAATGTGCAACAAATTATTATTATAATTTATCTTTTATATTTTATACATATAGATTCTATTAGTTTAAGGCATGTAGGTTTATTATTACTGCAAGGTTTCAGTAATATTTTCGATGATATGTCTGTGTATGATCCATGCGATGATGTCATTTTAATTAAATGAGCATTATTAGATACAAAATCATTATTATTGGTTGAAATCAAGCTTAAAACTTTTAAACAAAGTCTTTTTAAAATTCTTGTCGTATAAAAAATTCCCCATTTCAAAATTAGAAAATCGATTTTTGATAGGTATCGAACCCACGTCCTCACAAGTGACAAGGTTACAGATATTCGATCTATTTCCTAACCTTTCAGTTACAGAGACCTTAATTCTTCTATGATAGCAACAGCTTCGAGTTCATATCCTTCTATACTTCAGATTCTACTTTATTCCAATCAGTGTTGCATTCTGGCTATTTGTCTGGATCAGATAAATTCTGAGACAGAAATTTCTTCATAAAGATCGATTCTATATGAAGATGATGAAGATAGAAAATCTAATCTACACAAAGATTATTTCTACATAAAGATTCGATGTAGATGTCTATAATTCTACATTCTTCTCTGATGTAGACCTGGAAAAAATGTAGAATTGTAGACATCTACATCGAATCTTTATGTAGACAGAATCTTTATGTAGAAATAATCTTTGTGTAGATTAGATTTTCTATTTTCATATAGAATCGATCTTTATGAAGAAAGTTTCTTAGCTAGACAAAAACTATTGAAGAATCTACATTCTTCATCTAGTGTAGACATCTACATTTGCAACACTGATTCCAATACCACACCCATCAACAACCTTTCACTAATTATTTCACAATTAAGTCCTCGAGTTTTAATCCAGTACAGTGCACTCTTAATGAGAAAGTACATTACAACTTAACAAACTGTTGACTTATAAGGACTCAATTAAAACATTGCAATCTAGCTTTGAACAATTGCAAAAAAGCTTTTAAGACAAAGCTTGACAGCTTTCAATCATGATTTCATCTCATAGACATACACTTACATATCGCTACTTACTCATCTGAAATGTGCATTTTAAAAGGAAGAGAAAATATTTCGATTGTGTAACTTTTTAAATCTAATCTTTTTATTGAGTTGTATAAAATGTAAAAATCAGGGAAATAAAAAAAGATTTATTTTTGTTTCTTCTTCTTCCACCTCTTGCCCTGCCATAAATCCCTTTACGAACAACAACAGCAGCAAGTGAAAACCTCATTAAAAGTACATGAATGAGAGAACAGAAACAAAAACGAAATGAATGTTGCTTCAATAATTAGATTTATGATTCTCATCTTTATGGTGCGTCCGTATATAAAATAAATACATATATTTTTTGTAATGATAATAAAAATTTCATATATTTTTCATCCTATTCTTCCTTATTTCTCATCTGAAAACTAGCGTACAATGAGATAAAAAAAAGACAATTATTAATTTTGCTTTCGGGGATTATGACAAAAAAAAAGCTACAAAATATTCTAATGAGTCAGGGGTAGGGAAGCAGTAAAAAAAGCTCGAAACACAAAATTCAATCAATTTGAATTGAGAACCTACTTAATAAGATAAATATATCAATTCAGGATATGCAAAATAACACTTTTTAGCCATACTTTTCAAAAATATTTGTGCTTCCAACTTTATTTTTGTAGTAGCAACTATTGGGTAACTTTGTGAGTATATCCTATCAACTTAAATAAATCTTAGGTTCTTATAATTATCCAAATGAAGAATTCAAGACGTATTCATATTGTCAAGACTTATCTAGATGGTTTATTGATCAACTACCTTTAGCTGTCCTTTTCTGGAATCTATAAATAATCTTTGTAGCTCAGAAACTTTTCTTCGCGTGGGTTCGATTCCTACGAATTTGAATTTTATTATAGATTTATTAAACAGGCATACTTATATCAATTATAAAGAGACTAACTAGACTAGAGCACTAGGTCGTCAGCATATGTAGTTTAAGTAAACTCGAGCTATGCTTAATTGACAAATCAATACGTCTGATTAACTTTTTTCCTATCAAACCTATTTCTTGGTTTATTCTGTTATTTAATAATGAATTAATGAGTCCAAAAAGTCTCAATCTAAACAAGCTGCCCTAGTTTTACTGATTCCGTACCCTTGACAAAAACAAGCAAAAGCGAGGTGGAAATGAAAATAAAAATACAAATGTGAATGAGCGAGCATGAATGATGCGAAAAAAATATGAAAAAAATGAAAATTTTCATTGAAAAATTGTGATAAAAAATTGCTTGAGAAAATTCAGAAAAAAAAAGTCGTATGATAAAAAATGTATGAAAAATGCATTAAAAAGTCTATAGTGAACATTAGTTGTGTCATGATATTTAAAGACATTTATTCTCTTCGTTCTTCTTTGCATACAGGAATTATATGTGACACAACTAATGTGCATTTTTTATAGATGTGCATAAAGAACTTTATAGTACATTATATCATTATATATAAACTAAACAAATACATTATATATTGCTCACATCACAATTTTTATTTCCTTTCTCTTTAAAAAACTTCCTTAATGTAAAACTAAAAAGAAAGATGATGAAAATTTAAAAAAAAAATGAAATATTTTTGTCGCAATTTGTAAATAAAAGTAGACTTTCATTTAACTCTGAGGTCTTATTCCTCACAAAAGTGTAACAAGAAACAAAACAATTTTATTAAAAAATGAATATTTGAAGAAAAAAAAAATGATAAAATAAATCATGATAAATCATCCTAATTGAGCCTTATTATGGATTTAATCGATTTAATAATTTTTCAGTTTTCAGCTTTTTAACTCCTTCGTTTTTGCGGCCCATTGCCTTGCTTAGAGAACGTCTAAAGACAGCTATATCCTTCGACACCTTCTGCCAGTTCGAGATATTCAGGACTCTTGCGTCCTTTTCAACACAACCAATCCAGGAGTTCTTCGGTATTTCTCTTGCTCTATTTCCATCCACAAAGTCTGGCATCTCAAGCGATTCGCACGAAGTACTGTAGCAATATCAGCATCCTGAACCGTTTTTTCACTAGAAATGCCACATCTACCATTAATAGCACGTCTTGATTGAATCTTTAATAAAGATTCATGTGTAAGGAATTTCACCAGTGTGAGATTATTAAGGAAATAAGTTCTAGCTGCAGCTTAGATAGAACAAACCTAGATGGATTCTGGGATTTGTTTTCATTTTTGCAGCGCTTAAATCTTTAAAGCAAATATTCTATTTTAACGAGAGATTGACATGATTTCATCGTTTCATATTGAAATTTCATAATTTTTCATCTTTTCATACCAAATTAGTATGGAGATCAAAACAAAATTCATCAAGATGAAATCGTGTCAACCACTGGATTTTAACAAGATTAATAACTTAAAAAAATACACCTGTTCAAATTGAGGACCCCTTCACCAGTAAATTAGTACAATAGCAAGCTAGTCGTTGAATTTTTTCGAATCTATAAAGACAAAATGTGAAAGATTAAAAAGAGATTATCGATTATCAGAAACACCATATGTGCAACATTGCCAAGTTTTCTAATAGTTTGTATTTCCGTTTTTATCAAAACAAGAAAAGAAAAACATTTTCTAATAAAACTTTATTTTTATGGATTAAATTCTCAATTCTTATTATTTTTATAGCAAGAATCTTCAAACATGAAACTTTTGATCCTTGATTTTGAAACAGGAAGCTGAAAAACCCACGAAAAAATTTCCATTGATGTCATTAATTCATTCCTGGAAAAAAGACGAAAGAAAAAAAATTGAAAAATGATAAATGAAAAATGTTGCAGACTGAATTTTCAATGCCTTTCTTCCTCTTTCTTATTTCTTTCTTTCTGTGCGTTGATTTCAGATTTGATGGAAATTTATTGAAGTTATTCGATTTGCATATTTTCGTGAGAGAAGAGATCATCCGTGAGTTTTCCATCATCTGCATGAGGTACAAGGAAGAGAGGAAGGTGAAATGAGCAAAAAAGATGAAAAAGTTTGGCTTGTATTGTGATGCTTCTTTAAAATCACGGCCTTATTTCCTCATACCATGACATTATTACAGTAACCGAGCTAGATTAAATGTACAAAGAAAATCAACAGCACAAATATCATCAGCGACGGAAGAGAAGGTGAAAAATGAAAAGGCGGTATTAACAACAACAGAATCTCCAATGGCATCATTGCTTTTCATTATAATTTTATATCCGGTCACATTTTCGTCATAAATAACTTAATTTATGTGCCTTCATTTCCAGGTGATAAAAAAGTAACGAATTTAATCAACTAAACAACTTTACGTGCTTCACTACAATGCTTCTATGATGCTTGTTTAGGATAAAATTAGGATTTACAATTTTCATTCTATCCGAAATGCTTCATTTGATCCGCTCTCATAAATTCATACTGATCCCTTTCTAGTTCCTCTACTCTTTTTTTTTGTGTGTCTAGAATTGTCTTAAATGGAATTTGTCTTGCTCATAATTTCATTTGTAGATTCTAAAGACATTTCTCTATGCTTATGGAAGCTTCAAGAACGCGCAATGAAGGAAAAACTGGAATAATTGGTTCAGAGGAATTTTTGTAGTTTTTGTGTCTTTGTGATCGTATCTCGTTCCTTAGTTCTATGCTGCTTGCTAAGATAAGCTATTAAAACTGATGCATATTAGGACTAGGAAGTTCTTGTTTAGTTTTTTGCAAAACAGAAGATGCAACGTTGGGTTTTCACGTGGAACAGCTTTAGTGAGAACTTTAAGAATCTAATAGCATGCAAAGTAGCTAATTTTGCAGATAAATTCTAAGAATCTACATTGATAAAGTTTGAATCAAATAATCAAATAACAAACAGATTGACAGACAATGTATGTAAGTCTATTGTAGCAAGCTTGCCATCTCTGAATTGGACCTTCTTCTTCTTCTTGAACAAAATACAACCTTCAATTCAAGAATATTTCTAAAAACCTAATATTGAATTTTACATTGAATTTTCTATAATTCAATTTTAATTGATGAAAAAATCTAAGGAAATGATACAATCTAGTGTCAATTTTAACTTACATTCTTTAAAAAATTGCCGTCTGTTATCAATTAAAACGAGTAAAACCTTTCGAAGGAAAGTTAATTGAAAAACTTTTTCCATCTGTTCTTCGGAAAAACTTTATAAAAGAGAAACTAATGAAAATCTTTATTAATTCTTTCCTATAAATGAACGAAATCTACAAAAAAATTAATTGATATGCATGAAATTTCCACAATTTTAAATTTTTAATTCCTTATCATTTTAAAAAAAGTTTTCGCTCTGATATTTTAAAAGGGAATTCTATAAAATTGGTACTTAAACCTTCAATTTTGACGTAATCATTTTTTGAGTGTTGTTTTACAATTTTCGGAGAGCTGTAAATACCTTTCATAAAATTCACATTACAAACTTTACGGTAAACAAATAACTGAATCTTGTTGTGCTATCAAAAAGGAAACTGTTTTTTGTTCTCGAAAATTTGCAGACATAAAAAGGCGTAAAAATCAATTAAAACATTTTTTTGAACGAAGGATTGCAAAGTTTACCTCCAATTTTGTTGAAAGAGCGCAGTTCAATAATACAATTAAGTTTAAACTCTTATTTAAGTGAAGGGTCTTAAGAACTTGAAATTTTCTTGATTCTTAAGATCTTATAGGTTTCACAATGATGGCGTTTAGAGTATAGGTTATCTATTTTGGCAATAATGGTAGCTGACAGTTGGTTTTTTTAATACAAATCTAGCGTTTTATTTTTAACACATTTAAAATATTAAAAATCTTCTGTTTAATATGTCAAAAAACTTTAAACACTCCCTCTACACTTCCTCCAATCAATAAATAATACCCAACCTTATGAAAAGGTCAAACATTTATGACGTCCATTAAAAAACATGATTTTTAGACCCCTTCCCCGTGTGAAACTGTCACACGTGAAAGGAACCCACCCCCCCCCCCCCCCCCCCCCCACCTCCCTCCTGTGACGTCCAATCAAAGGTTACCAAAAAATGTGATTTCCTTTTTGCGATTTTTTTAATTTAAATTTTTAATTTTAATATCTTCTTTAAAACATAGATATGATAAAAGCAAGTAGAAGTCATCCTTAGTTTGTAGCCAAAACTTTCATTTGAGTGAAAATTTTAAAAATTTCTCATTTTGTATTGGCCATGTGATCAAAATTTTTCTTTATTTTTACTTTTTCTGACTATGTTTTCACCAAATTTTTATTGAGCTATGTTAATTGCAATAAAATCTAATTATTTCATATGCAATCGAGGAGTTATCGTTGCCAAATTGGCGTAAAACATTGATTTTTGCAATTTTATTCCTAGCTAATTTCAAGAGCAAATTTTATATATTTAAATCAGTAATTATTGTGCGTATAATGTCAAATTGGATTGATACAATGTTCAAATAACTTAATCAATTGAAAAGTCAAGTGAATTTCAAGTTTAAAGTAAAATTTTACAATTTTTTTCAAAATTCGCCTATAATTATTTCAACTTGCGAAACGCATATTTTTCAAAAAATGGCCGTTATTTTTTTTCTAGTTAATATAATTAAAAAAATTTTTCGCTGGGATATTCGTCATATTAAGCTGCACAAATTTCACATAGAACATATTTTCTGAAAATGTTTATATTTTCGAAAATTTTGAAAATATCAATTCGCCTATAATTATTTCCCCCACTGTATTTCAATCGAAAAACAAAAAAGGAATGTAAAATAATTTAAAGAGAATAAAAAGTTAAAGAATCTTTCTTAGGTATCGGAAAGGAAAATTTTAATTACTAATTGAGGGATGAAAATTTTCGGAGAAGAATAAAAATTAATTAAAAGAATTTTTAAACTTTAATATACAGCATATTTAAGGTATTTCGGTTCGAAAGAAAATAACTTTGCTCACGTGCTAATTCTTCTTTTATGCTGAACACATACAACGGAAAGCACTACCCATACAATTTGCATAATTAAATCGATTGTTCTCATCTGATGTCTCATAATTATTCGGTCAGTAATTGGAAACCGATTGCTGATGATTATACAGATTAAATTCATTTGATTCACTTTTGTCTTACTTTACAGACACATTCAATATTCTATGTATGATGCTGTTGATGATTTGAATGGGAAACTTTCACTTGGGAGTAATTTTGATAATCTATGGATTAAAGTGATGAGTCATAATTATTAAGCAATCACTGACACTCTTATATCTTACATTTTTTGAAAGAATATGACAGCAGACTATAATGACTTATTGTCTAGTGCTATTTTTGTCATTCCTGGCATCTTCACCAACAATGCTATGTTGTGTGAGTCTCATGACACGAAATTCTTTTTATTTTGCATTCTGATTAAATTCTTGTTGCTTTAGGGATGAATTTTCACTTGCATCATCTCAGCTACCATCATCGATTGAATCTCTATTTGTGTCTCGTCATTCTATAATGTTGATGACACTCCTCTCATTTCAAAGTTTTCCATTATTTTGCCTTAACATTCACCCTCAATCTTACGGTAGATTTCACAAATTTAATCGATCATTGCCATCGATGATATGAATTGCGATGATTTCTGATTTTTATCATCATTAATATTATTTATTGCTGGATGTACAATGAAATTTATATTGAGTTCACACGTCAAGTATGTAAATAATATGACTTTGTATCACAACTCATGAAATTTTCATTGAATTTTAACCAAATTGGAGAATGTCGTTTATTTCCGAATGGCACAAGTCGGTTAATCGAATAAAAATCCGGCACCAAGCCATCATGCTTCGATTAAAATCCAGTACTTGGCCAGAGTCACATCAGCTTAGTGCCGAATTTCCGATCGATTAAGCGACTTATGAAAGTCTTATGAAAGTCGATCTTATAAAAATAAGATTTTAGATTTATTGCCCGCCTTGTTTTTATGTTCTTTGATCTGTGATTCAGATGCGTAGCTAGAGGGACGTAGGGGACGTTAACAAAAATTTATTCATTTTGCTAGGGTTTTATGAAAAAATCCTAACCCCCCCCCCCCCCCCTTCCCCCTTTTAAATGTTCAATTTAAAAAAATTTTTGTCCACCCCTCTTCAAATTCCTGGCTACGCCAAGTGCTGTGATATCATCTCAGAATCCCTCCCCCCAGATTCTGACTTAACCTAACAGATGAACGGCCCTTATAATTAAAACATTTTAATCCCATTAGAATACTGGGTCATGAAAAAAAATAACTGACTCGATTTTTTTAAAAAGATTCCAATGTTAAGAACGATCAGGACAGCAAATAAGAAGAACGAAGAATAGAATAAAAGAGAATTTCAAATGAGAGTTGTCATTAAAATTTCAAATGAATATCTCAAACTTTATAAATTATTAAAATTTCCAGTGTGAGTACAGACAAAAAGTAAAAACTTAAAGTTGTTTAATCACGTTCAGTGCTCGATTGAACGGCAATGAGAACAGATTAAAGATTGATAGCTACAAAATATAAACAATAAACTCAATTCTGAGAATATTATAGACAACAGGAATTTTATGTAACAAAAATGTAAGTAAATTTATTTAGACTAAGATTAATGCGGTCCAGTTAAAAGTGTCATCAGAACAAAATTACCATAAAAAAATGTTTTAGCAAAATGTATTTCGCTGTTGCGGGAACAAAAATAAATATTTACATAATTCTCGAGAACTTGTGTGCATATGGTCAGCTGTTTGTTATAAAAGGATCAGATTACGTTCAAAAAGCAACTGTTTAAATCACAATTATACGTTATTATATCCCACAGGTCGTTACTCTTCATCATTACAGTCTTGTTAGCTTTCTACTTTACATACTACCTTTTTCAAATAAAAAGGGAACGTAAAAATTGCCCGCCTGGTCCATTGGGAAATTACATTCCATTCATTGGTTATTTACCATTTTTGAATCCAGCAAAGCCACATGAAACTTTACTTGAACTGTCGAAAAAATATGGCAATATATTTAGCCTCCAGATGGGTTCCATTTTCACCGTCATTCTTGCTGATTCTGCTCTTATTCGAGAGGCATTTAGACGTGATGAATTCAGTGGAAGAGCTCCACTTTTTGTAACTCACGGAATATTCAATGGATATGGTAAAAAAAATAAGGCTTTAAAAAAAATGTTGAATGAAATTTAATAGAATAAAAAAAGGTTAATCATGTGCAAATTTTATGTGTATTCAGGCTTAATATGTACAGAAGGAGAATTTTGGAAGGATCAACGAAGTCTCGTTCACAAATGGTTGCGTGACATGGGCATGATAAAGTTTGGAATAAAACGGGAGCTCATGCAAAATCGCATTATGGAGGGAATTGATTTATGCATACAAGAGATAGAGAAGCTCCAATCGCATAAAATAAATCCTCTTAATATTTTAATGGACACTGTTGGAAACATTGTAAATGATTTTGTTTTCGGCATGAAATATGAATGGAACTCGGATACGTGGAAGTACCTTAAACATTTACAAGAGGAAGGTGTCAAGCTTGTTGGGATTCATGCTTCTGCGAACTTTTTGCCAATTTTACGGTGAGTTCCTCATTTGTTCTATATTTATTGAATGGCACACAGCATGACAAAGTTCATATGTTTCTAAGTATTAAATTCAATTTGCAGCTAGTTCAATAACTCTCGTTCAAGGCGTGGAAACTATCCCAAATATTCCCATTTATCCCACATATCCCAAAAATATTCAAAATAATCCCTGAGCATGGATGCATTAGAATTGAGATATCTCATCATATCCTGAAATTACACGTCCAATATCCTAAGGATACATTGGGATATCTTTATTATCGTGCATACATGCTCAGGAATTTTTTAAGGGATAGTTTCCACGGCTTGCTCTCGTTTCAAGCTTTAATTGTAAATTTTTGTCTAGCTATGGAAATTTAAGCCTTTTATACTTTTATGCAAGAAATGTGTGGAATCAAATTTCTGTCACTTTTGGCAGGAGGTCGGTAATAAATGGTGTTGATTTAAGTTATACTTTTTTGAAACAACCCCCCCCCCCCCCCCCAATTAGTTCTATACTTCCTCCCGTAAAAATAAGACATCATTTAAGTATGATCCCAATTTTTTTCATATTCAGTCATTCATTCACTATTGCAATATTTATTTTCCTAAAATATTCACTCCTTCTACTACCCCAAAACATGTCTTCACAATAATTTCTAGATTCTTGCCGAGTAACCGACGTAACATGGAATTCATTTTAACTGGAAAAGCAGCAACACATAAACTTTACGATGCCATAGTAGATAATTGCGAGAGAGCATTGGACACTTCCACAGAATATCGCGATTGCATTCTGAAGAGATTTTTATTAGAGAAACGTGACCGAGAACAAAGTCATGATGAATTAGGAAAGAACTGCTCGCGTGAACAACTGAATCATTTACTTGCTGACATGTTCGGAGCATCATTGGACACAACTTTATGTACACTGCGATGGTACCTATTACTTATTGCAATTCATCATGAATGTCAAGATAAAATTTATGAAGAAATGAGAAATTATGGAATACGAGAGCGTTACTTAACAGATGATATTGAAAGCTTACCTTATTTGAAAGCATCAATTGCAGAATCAATGAGATTAAAAACCGTAGTTCCATGTGGAATCCCACATGGTAATACACAACAACATACCACCCTTGATGGTTACTTTATACCGAAAAATAGTATGGTATGTAATATGATACACATACATTTATGGGGTCGTTCACTTATGACGTCCGAAATTAACGGTTCAAAAAAGAACAATGGATTTCCTGGAATTTCTATTGTTTTTTTTCTTGCTGACCCCCCCCCCCCCCCATACAATTAAGGGGTCGTTCACTTATGACGTCCGAAATTAACGGTCATTTTTCAAAAAAGAACAATGGATTTGCTGGAATTTCTATTGTTTTTTTTCTTGCTGATCCCCCCCCCCCCCCCACATACAATTAAGGGGTCGTTCACTTATAACGTCCGAAATTAACGGTCATTTTTCAAAAAAGAACAATAGATTTTCTGGAATTTCTATTGTTTTTTTTTTCTTGCTGACCCCCCCCCCCCCCCTCTGGACGTCATAAGTGAACGGCCCCTATGTGGATTACTCATTTACTCATTCTTATGCTAACGAGATATACCGAATACTTTAAAACTTGCTTTAAGTTCAGTTTTTGATAGCAGAATGTGAGCACAACGTCCTTTGAGTACTAAATATCGTCCGAAGCCGGTTTCTAAGGATACACTAGGCATTTACACTAGTCACAGTTATATGTCAATTGAAGGACATCAATTTTAGATTCTAGGATAAGGTGATCCCTAGAAACCAGTTCCTGATTCTGTTATATTCCACATAGAACAAAAAACTACTTAATGCGCTTTGAACAACTATTTTAACAACAACTTTTTATTCGTATAGATTTTACCACTACAATATGCCATTCACATGAATGAAAATTTATGGCCACAACCACAAACCTTCAATCCAAATCGTTTTATTGATGAAGATGGCAAGTTTTTTACATCTCCAAATTTCATTCCATTTCAAACAGGCAAAAGGTGAGAAAAGAAGAAGCAGAGCAAAAAAGAAAGGCAAAATCATTGGCAACTTGTTATCTCCACACACATATATAATCAAATTCTATTTTCCTTTATCTCAATCTACATCTACATTCTTCTTTTTCTTTCATATAGGATGTGCCTCGGTGAGGAATTGGCAAAAATGTTCTTAAATCTATTTGCAGCAAATATTCTATTGAATTTTAACATTAAACTGGGACAAGATAAGGATGAGCTTGATTTATCAGGCATTTGTGGACTCGCCTTAAGTCCACCTGAATATTGTTTGATTTTTGAAAAACGTTGAATAATTTATTCAATAGTAAAATTTAAAATGCACAATAAATAAAAATAATTTTTTAATTCCTTTAAATATCTGAGTTATTAATATATTTTCGAATTATGCTAAATAAGCCTCAAGTTCTCATGATTTTCCAAAATTTCCACAAATTATTTTAATAAGCAAAATTAGTGGCTCAAATAATATGTCATATGATAATGTGTTGATTTATTATTCTAGAACAATATTCTATTTGAATGGAAATAGAAATGTGGAAAATTGCATTATTATGCAGAAGTTTGCATCTATTAATTTGGTTTGATTTGTTGCTACAAACTTTAATGAATGCATTAGTGGACTTCATGCAGAATTATAGTTTGTGCTTTAAATGCTTACAGTCTGGAAAGTTTAAAGCTTTTAATTTGATAGACCGCAATTTGTCATTCCACAATCCTGAGTAGTGCACTATAGGAAATATAATTTAATGCTGTCAAGGCTCTGTCATTATAGTGCTTCTTTAAGGATGTCGTTCACCTACTTTAGGAATTTCTATTGTTATTTGCCCCTCTCACACCTCCCCCCCCCCCCCCCCCCCCCCCAAATGCAGTTCGGAGTTACCAGAGCTCGAAGTCGACTCGAGCCTTGATTTTCATCGACTTTGAGCTCTGGGTATTACTGATTTAATTTGAAAATTGAATGACAATCCACAACACAACATGCCAAAAAATAAATCCTATTTAATAGCTGTCATGCTAATTAGTTGCTATCATTATGCAGTAATTTTCCGGGTAAAAGTTTCAATTACACTAATCGACTTACAAAAAATTAATGGATAAAATAAATTCAATTTTAATATGATTTACATAACCGCACTAAAAAAAGTTAGTAACCAATTAAAATGCTGTAATCGATGAGGCAAATTAATAAATTGTACAAAAACATGTGCACAACCAATTGCTATCACGTTTGAAATTACTTGATGTGGAATAATAATCAATTTATTTACATAAGCTTTTTTGTATGAATTTCATGAATTAATCATGACAGTTTGCGGTTATTAATGTAGATTTTGTGGATTTTTGGTTTGTGAATTTTATGGTCTATTAGATGCGTAATTAATAAAAATATGTTTTAATGATCATTCAATTATTCGATATCATAATTTTGTATTTCTTATTGAATTTTTTTTTTTAAATATTGACATCTGCTTAATAGAAGTGCAACCATTTACTTTTACAGGAAATGAACCTTCCTTTTGACAGTTCAAGATTACGGTTCAAACCCTATAATAAATTTGATTTTTGAATAATTGGCAATTCTAATATCTTGAATTAATAAACTCACTTCGAAAAGTTCCTCCTTAAAATTCATACATTCAAAACTAAACTTAAACACTTCCCCGAACAGCACAATCATGTTTACAATGGAAGACAAAGTTTGACAAAGTTGAACCCGAATAGCACAAGTCGGTTAATCAAATAGAAATCCGGCACTAAGTTTGACTCTGGTATGGTACTAGACTTCAATCTAATCCAGCACAATGACAGGGTTACGTCAACTTGGTGCCGAATTCCTATTCGATTAACCGATTTGTGCTTTTCGGGTTCAACTTTGTCAAACTTTATCTTCCATTGTAAACATGATTGACCCAAAACAAAGTATCAAGAAGTAATGGAGGATACGAAAAAAATGTCAATCGATCAAAAAAGCATATGACAAAGGAAAAAAGATTACAATAAAAGAATAAAAAAAAGTTTTTTATATTCATTCGAGCTCCCCTCAGAAGTGAGAAAGATATTACCAAGTATCGTGCGAAAAGTTTCATCTGATGACGGAAAGTTAAACAAGTAAATAAAGTCAATGATTATTAATGTGACAAAAATGGCTTTTTAATGTGATCAATTTGATATTAAATGTCTTTCAATAAGATATTTTATGAGTATCATGAAACTTAACTGAATCTTTTAGAATCTCGTGTCTGGTTTAGAAGAGCAATCACTTGACATTAGAATCTAGAAATGATTGGCCATCGAATGATAAGCTTCTAGAGAATGCAGGTTCAACAATACATCAACAAGGAGATACAGATGAGGAAGTACGACTGGATCGGATATATACTTCGAAAGAAAAATACCATAGAGAATGTCACTGCTGGGACAGGAACACAAGTTTTTTACACCGCCCTTGATTGGAATCCGTAAGTGAAAAGACGCCCTGGAGCTCCCAAAGCTACTTAGCGTAGAACATTAATGAAAGAATGTCAACTTAATGTGCGGACAGAGAAGTCGTACAAACTAGTTGACAGAGCCAGCAACAGAGTCAGATGGAAAGCCTTTTGTTGTAACCTAAACTCCACATAGGAACATGATTACAGTAAGATTATTTTAAAAGAAAATATTAAAGAACATAATTTTAAAATCGTCAAAACTTCGAAACAAAGTCAAATTCCTAGTAACAATTTAGTTTGAATCAAGGCGTGGAAACTCTGGATTAATCCTGAAAAATCTCAAAATCCTAAAAAAATTCCTAAGCCAATAAACATGAAAATATGAAATCCCTTTTAAATCCCGTAGTTATTTATCAAATGCATCAGGGATTTAAAAAGAATTTCACATTTCGATGTTTATTGGTTCAGGAATTTTTTAAGAATTTTGGGATTTTCAGGATTACTATTGAGTTTCCACGCCTTGGTTTGAATTGATGAAAACCATTTAAATGAATAAAATTACCAAGCAGAATAGAATAAATTCCATTAATTATAATAAATTCAATTGAAAATTAAATGTAATCAAATTTGACTCATTGAAGCAGAAAAGAAAATCTGACTGACCCAAAAAGTCTCTTATTTGACAACATTGACAAAAGAAGTAAAAATAGACCACTGTAAGAAACTTTCCTCCAGCTTTTCATCCTGGAGAGCAAAAAAGAAAAGAGAAAAGGAAAAGCATTTATCGATAATTCGATTCACGTTCAAAAAGTTTTCAAATTATCTGTTTTGAATTAGATTGCATGATGAAATGTTTTCTCTCCTCAGTTTTACTCAATGATAAGGATGATGATTACATAAAAAAAATGTATACAGCAGTGGTTGAGGTGCGTGTAGCTGCTGAAACTTTCAGTTTTTCTTCTTTCAACCGACTTTCTCTTACTTTTTTGCCTCGTCAACAAGAAGCAAAAAAAAACTCATGTCAAAGTTTTCAACAAGCCACAGCACGAGAAAAAAGAGAGAGAATGAGATAAGAAAGAATTTTTTTTTTCAAGTTTTTGAACATCATAAATTAATATTAAAGTACTGATGTGAGAGAACAAAGATTTTTTTGCGCCAAAAAAAAGAGAAATCGGATCATTGAGACAAATTAGATAAACTTGAATCGAATATTGAGCACATCCAAAGGAGTTGTAAGAGATCAACATTGAGCGTCAACAGTCAACATTAAACACTTGCGCAACTACGCAACATTTCATACTGTTGGTTTATTGTTTTCAATTCTATTTTCGAGAGATTGTGGCTACAGTAAGGATAGATTCCTACAGAGATTGTTGTTGATCCTTGTTTAAAAATACTAGGCAGTAATGAACATTATTGTTTTGTATACAAAGTTTGTAAGAACTGATAATCCTGGAAGGTTATTGATGGAACTCTTCTGAATGCATGCAACTGTTGTTTCTGATTGCTCGCTATGTAAAAATATTGAATATTTAATACTTAGAAGCTTTTTTAAATTTTTCTGATGTTGGTTGAACGATTTGAGCAGACTAACGTCAATTTCCAAGAATTATCCTTTATGCTTTATGAATGAATAGTTCGAAAGTGCATTAAGAATTCTTAGAATGATTTTAAATACTTTTAATGCTCACTATCGAACATAAATAAGTTTTAGTACAGAATATGACTTTGTAGAACTTAGGATGGAATGGTTAAAATGAAGTACAATCGAATGGAGTCTTTATACTTGGAAAATAGAAAACTTCAATGATTAAATGAAGTTCAAACTATATCATATAAATCTAGATTTTATCCCTTTTATTAAAGCAATATAATGGCATAAGTGGTAGAGCGTTGGCCAAACGTGCCAAAGGTCCTGGGTTCAATCCCAGGCCAAGTCAAGTTTTAGAAGCTCTTTTTCCAATTCCCGTTCTAGTTACGAAGCTCGGTTCGTGGGTTGGGTCTAGTTTTGAGGTCTTCAGCACATAACGTGTCTAGGTATACTAGGATATACTAGCATCTGAATAACTTCATTACATCATCTTGCGCACACGCATTAAGACTAAGTACATTGCAGGGTACATCAGGTCTATAGACGTACTCGTGTCATTGCAATGTGCAGAGCTTGCAAGTGGTTCGGATTCCACTAAAAAAAGTAAGTCTAAAGGGTGTGGTACAATAGATTCTGTTCAAATTTGAATCGCAATGCCTCCAGTTCAGAAGGCTAGGCCCTCCATGCTATATCTTTTTATCCCTTTTATTCAATTTTTTAAATTTTAAACAAATATTCAGGAAAAATATTGTTCTGATTTTGAAAATAATCACAGTCAATGTCATTTAATGGAATTCTACAGCAAATCTGCTATCATTTCAATTTAGTTCATCACAAGCTTCTAATGCCGAGAATATAACTATTTACAAATATAACAAAGGACATTACTATTTATAAGTATACAAAGAGCAATTTCAAAGGCAAGCATCTTTTATCAACCACTAGTAGGTTATGTAGCCATAAGCTTATGTAGTAATTATCTTCTCTTAATAACCATTAAACCCTCCTATTTTTCTACAGAAAAAATCATCGTAAGAAAAATAAATTTCCATAAAAAGGGGATGAACAAGTACCTAAAAGGAAAACTTGTAGCAACTGTTTAAGCTTGAACAGTGATTATATAGGTGAGCCATAAACGACGAGAAAAGTTTCTAATATTTTTATACAAAAGAAAATGAAAAGAAGGAGGACAGTTGAAACAATTAATTTATTTTTCTTTCATTGTCGACAACCACAAACTTTAAAAGCCAAAATAACATTTCCGAGAATGTTCTTTAAAATTTGTAGCTTAATTTCTTCTTCTTCTTTTGTAAAGTGTAGATGAAAAAAAAAGTGAT